ATTAGAAATAACACATGCAGTGTCTGTGCTTAATTAACAGCAGCTATTACTACTATTCCCCATGGGGACAGTGTTAGAGGCAGGGCGCTGGCCAGGCAGGTCCAGCATAGCACTTTGCCCAAACTGAGAGTCCCAGCAGTACTGCTAAATGGAAGGTAGACCCCCGCTTCAGGGGGCCGACCCAGAATGGCACTTTTTTTTTTTAAGAGACAGGTCTCACCATGTTGCCAGACTGGAGTGCAGTGGCTATTCACAGGCACAATCATAGGACACAGTGGTCTCAAACTCCTAGGCTCAAGCCTCAGCCTCCCAAGTAACTCTGGGTCAGCACTTCCCTTATCACAGCTAGATGTCTCAAGGCCATCTGTCCTAAGCCCTTGAGGTCCAAGTCACAGTCACAGTGCCTGGCCACGGTACATGTCTAGTAAGTCAGCTAGTCTGTGGATCCGTAATGTCCACCCTGGAACAGGAAAAAGGGTACGGGTGTGGGGTTGGGCATCAATCCTGGAGTCAAAAACTTGGGAGTAGGTTCCCAAGTAGTTGAGCCTACAGGTATGTATCACTGCACCTGGCTAGGATGGCACATTCAGGGTTACTGGCCCATGCCATCAGCCTCGGGACAGCTGGCTGACTGGCCCTACTGTAGCCCTCCACAGAGGATTTGGGAAATCCCCTGGAGAAGTGGGAGTGTAGAGAGAGGAGGACACAGCTACAATGACAAATAAGACCCAAAGTCAAAGCCTGGCTCCGTTTCTCCTTTCCTTCCGAGGAAGCGGAAGGCGAAGACTTAAGCCAAACAGAAACAAGACTCACCACTACACACTCCTCCCCCGAGCCGAGGAGACTCTGCGGTTGCAGTGTACAGGAAGACCCTAACACACTGAGATCCACTCACCCTCCTTTCCCCTTGTGCCAGGCCCTGTGAATCATCAGGGATGCCCCCAGTTCTGTGATTCCATGACCCCTGACCCACTCAGGGCCAGTGAATCAGGCCCCACCTGCCCCCTTCGTGCTGCTACTAAACCAATGAGGTCGAGTTCCCAAGGTTACTCCGGAAAGGGCCAGTCATCTTCAGGAGAAAAGGCTCTCTCAAGAAAAGGCTCCCAGAGGGCGAAGAACAAGTCGGGGGGGGAGGGGGGGGGGCGCGGTTTTAGCACAGGATCCTCAAGGCACCAACCCTGCCTGGACAAAGCCAGAATTAGCCTCTCCTCGGCCAGAAAAAGGGACACTCATTTTTTGTCCCACTGATGTGGCAGCTGCCCCCTTGGAGGCTGGGACCCCAAGGCAGTTTCTGACAGACATGCAGACCTGGAGTCAGGAGACAGTTCTTTAAATCCCTGCTGAGTGATCTTGACCTTACCTCCCCTGAACCTCAGCTTCCTTATCTGTAAAGTAGAGCCAACAAGGTCTCGCACTCAGTGGAACAGGCACAAGCTGCCAGATGTGCTGGATTTTTGGTCTCCCGCACACTGCTCTCCCTTAACAAGTCTAGCTGTGTGAGAGCTCAACTTAATGCAACACGCAGGTACCAAGGGCTACAGCGTGCTGGACACAGTGCAAGTCCTGGGGCCACAGGACCCTGTTCTGGTCCATCAGGGACTCTGGGTCTGGTGAGGAAGACTGGCAGATAAATAATATCATGCTGTGATCAGCGCTTTCAGGGAGGAATGAACAAAGGACCGTGGGCTCCCAGAGAAGGGATCATCTGACCCAGGCTGGAATGAGTGAAGTCAAAAAAGCCACAGGGAGGAGGTCATCTGACCCTGGCCTTGAAGAGTCAGCATCTATCAGCTGGAGGCAAGGAGGGTGGGCATTACAGGCAGGCAAAAGAGCTCCAAAAAAGGCCCAGCCCAAAGGCATGCACCATGGCCCTACCCAGGGGGCCTGGCCCCAAACACCAGGTACTAAGCCTCCAGAGCACAGATGCCCCCAGGCGTGGTCCCTGCTGGCTCCCAAGTCAAGGGATGCTTCCTTATGGCCAATACAGGAAAGGAATTGCCAGCCTCAGCAGAGGACGCTGCCTCTGTCTTCCTCAGCTCCGTCTCCCCTGTTCCCCCACCCAGCCACCATCTACTGGAGCTCTGTTCAGAGGACCCAGCTTTCTGATCTCTGAGCCCACTCCAGCCTCTGCCTCCTTCTGATAAAATCCTCCCCTCGCTTTATAGCCCCCATTAACTGTCAGCTCCTCAGAAGCCACCCCTGGTCTTTTTCTCCCTCTAGTTCCCAGCTCTGTATACATTTCTCTAGATTGAATGCTTGCCATGTAACATGCACACATTTCCAGATTGGTTTTCCCGAACAGACCAGGTCTGAGCCTTTTTCACTCTTGAATCGTCACTCAATAAATCCAGATCCTGCCCCCCGTGTCCTCCACTCTAGCATTTTATTTATTGACAAAGAGCCAGACTCTATCAAATGACTAGTAAGCCACATCGACCATCCTCAGACAACTTATGAAATTAAAAATCATAACTGGTGAGCTATGTTGTCCTTACATAATAGTAATAACTATCTTTTTATTTATTTATTTGAGAAACAGGATCTCACTGTGTCCTTCACACTAGAGTGCAGTGGCACAACCATACCCCACTGTAACTTCAGATTCCCGGGCTCAAGGGATCCTCCCACACGTACCACCATGCTCAGCTAGTTTTTTTAATTTTTGTAGCGATGGGATCTCACTATGTTGCCCAGGCTAGTTGCAAACACCTGGCCTCAAGCGATCCTCCTGCCTTGCCTCCCAAAGTGCTGGGATTACACTGCACCCAGGCAACTCACTTTTATTGAGCATTCTTGTGCCTAGCACTGGTTTAAGACCTAAACCTACAATATTTCATTCAATCCTCACAACCCTATGAAGTAGGGACATTCCTATCTCCCTTTTACAAGTGAGGAAATTGCGCAGCTGACTTCATCAAGGTCACCAAACAGGTCAGAGCCCAGGCAGTCTGATCCAGGAGTCTGTATTCTCAGCTACTATGCTATTATGGACAGGGTGCTACAGGACACAGAGGGGCAATTAACCTTGGGGGCTGGGGGGGTGCAGTGCTACCTGCGCTGAAAAACCTGTAGAAGGTAGCTCAGCAGACAAGAGGAGGTTTTCAAGCGGCGGGGGCTGGTGTGTGCAAAGTGACGAAGATATGAACAGCAAGGGTAGGCATGGCACATGCTGCAGTGCCATATTATTGGACCTTAGGGTGCACATAGGAGACTGCTAGGTCAGATCACAGAGAGCCGTGTAAATTATGCTAGGCGTTCAGCACATAGGCAACAGAAAGCCAGAAAAAGGTTATCAGCAAGGAATTGGCACCATCAGACTTGTGTTCTAAAAGGATCACAAGACTTACAGTTTGGAGACTGGGTTGCAAGCTGCCAGGGCCGGACTGTTGGGAATTGACAACACATCAACAGCGTGGTAACAGAAGAGATGGAGTGGGCCCAGTGTGAAGGATGTTCACGAAGCTGGCAGTACTAGGTCACTTTTAAGATGTGGGACTTGAAAGAGAGGAGAAAGTGTAAGATAATTACCAGATTTCCGCCTGGGTTAGGGTAGAGGAAGAATTAATCTGCACGGAAAAGACCAGTTCAAGTTTGGATCCGGTGAGCTCCACGTGAAGCAGAGCTGTCCCAATGGCCGCTGGATAATCAAGCGTGGAGCTCCAGGTAAGGGCTGCGCTGAAGATGTGGATCTGGGTATTTAGTTGGCGTAAAGCTGAAGCCGTCGGGGTAAATGAGACCACTGAGATTCAGTGTACAGAGCGAGGAGTTGGGTGACAGAGGAAAACGTGAAGCGGGACTTCTGACCGACTGTCAGAGCGGTAAGAAGAAAACCAGGAGACACTGACTAAGCCAAAACCGGGGTGGGGTGGGGGAACGTGTCATTAGGAATGAGTGTCAATGGTACTATGCACCTCTAAGAACTCAAGACTTTAAAGGGCCCTTTTAATATCAATTAGGAAGTTATTCACAGCCGTTTCCAAAGGAAGTTGGGGAGATAAGGGATGACACTGAGACGCAGACCTACCGGAATGCGCAGATGTTTTCCTCTCATCCCAGATTCCGACCTCTCCCCATACCTGACCCTGCTCGTAACACCCAGACACCTTCCCCTCGCCTCTCTCCTCAGTTAAGACGGAGGTTTTGGAAGGAGATCCCGAACGCCCTCCCCGGGCTCCCCAGGATATTGGGGTCGCCAAGAGTCAGTGCTGGAGACCCCGACCCGCGCGGGGCGGAGCGAGGCCAGGCAGAGGAAGGGGGCGGAACCTGAGACGCAGCGGGTGTGGGAAGGGTCGGATGGAAACCAGCATAGACAGCGGATGGGGAAGCGGGTTCGACCAACGGGAGACGGCCCTTTCACGCCACCCGCTCCCACCGACCGCTCCGGGACCCACCTGCTCCATGTCAGCCACGGCCCCGGCTCTTCCCGCCCCAGCCGCAGTCCGGCTCCGCAGCCTCAGTAGCGCCTCAGAGCGGAAGAAGATCTTTCAGCGGCGCCACTTCCGCCGCTGAGTCTGCCCCTGAGAGCGAAGCGGTACGTGCGTCCGCCTGCGGTTCCGCCCCTTCGCCCCGCCTCCAGCCCTGGCCCTGCGCAGAAGCTGGCGCGAAGGCCGAAGTCTAACTTAAGGGTAGGGGAGTGGAAAGAACACCGGGGCCGTAGTTATTAGGCCACACAGGCCTGGCTCTGAGGGAAAAAGGGGAATTTCCCGAGGGGAGCCCTGTGGGGATGGGGGAATCTTTGGAGGAATCCAGTTACTCGAGAAGGACTTCCCCACCCCACCCATCCCACCTGCCTCCTTCAGCTCTCCCAAGCAGGAGCTAGAACTTCTGTGGTTCTTCCTCTGAGTGCCCCGAGCCTGCTGTCTGCCAGAAAGACTCCTAGACTAGAGGATTGGACAGTAGGGTCAAAACCCTAACCTTTGGTTGACCACTGGCCTTCCCTATCAGGATGCCCCATTACCTCCCTTTTCCTCCCGCTTCCCCTGAAAGAGGAGTCTCAGCACCGTTATTTACAAAGATTTATTACAGCACGGGAGGGGTTCAGGCCTGGAGTCAGGGAAAAAGGGGAAGGGGGCAGAGCAACTGGGGGACAAGGAAAACCTGGCGCCCCCTACCATGTGCCCCACTGGGGATATATACTAGGCGGCATTCCTGGCATCAAAGCACAAAACGCAACAAAGAAGTCTCTGCCAGTCCATCTTCCAGGCACCCAAGAGGAGCAAGGTGATTAAGGGAAGACTCCCAAAATGTTGAAGCTGTGGAGAAAAACGCCTTAGTCCTGGACCCTGGTAGAAGCCGGTGAGAGAAATGGTGACTTGGAATCCTCCATAGGAGAGTGGATGGAAAAGGATCTAAGGGTACCTCAAGGTTCTCAGGACCTCCTTTCCCCAGATCTTAGGGTCCTGCCCTGTGGGTCTCCTGTGTCCAGGGGAGAGGATCTGGGGAGAATTGTGAAGGGCAAATCCCTGTTCCCGGTTTTCTGGATTTTCCAGTGCGCGCTGTCTCACATCCCACCTCCCACTGGGTGAGTGGAGGAATGACTGGCAGGGGTAGGCATCAGGCAGCAAGTGCCCAGGTTCTCTGGGCATCAGCCAAAGGTGGGCAAACAAGCAAACACAGACCAGCCTTAGTCTTCTAGAAGTCAGAAGCCGCAGCCCTAGCAGGCGAGGGGAAGGGCACAAAACAGGGTGAGGATAGAGTGGGTTTCTGGGGAGCAGCGATGTCCCCTCCACTTCCTCCTGGGAGATGCAGGCTGGGTGCTTATGTGCCAGGCTCAGAGGGGGAAGGGCGCTGAGGTTCCTCCCCAGGCTCTGAAAGGCAAGCAGAGAGGCACTCAGGGCCTGGCCTCATCTACCAAGATCCCAGCCCCGCCTCCTCATTCCACACTCCCAAGCCTCACCACTTAGTGCTGGGTCTTCCACTTGGTCCTCAGAGCTTCCATCTCTCTCGGGCTCATCCAGAGGGGGTGGGCGCTCCCAGGGCCCCTCCAGACCCTGGCCACAGGTTGTCTTTTGCCCAGCTGGGGATGGGAAAGAGGAGATAAGAACACAGGCTCCGGATATCCATCTGGCTGTCCTGGAGTGTGAGCTAAGTCTCTGATGGCTGAGGTTAAGCTTTCCAGGGGCATCATGGCAGCATGGAGAGAGCACTAGGCTAGAACAGCTCTCCCAGTGACTAGCCATATGGCTTACATAAGTCAGTTAGTACCTTTCTGAAGGAAATAGTAAGGGGGAAATTGTGTAGATTACTTTAAACAGGATGTAATAGTGAATACCTTGCCCAGACCAGCGCCAGCACCCAGGAGCCACTAGGAGTCGTGGTGGTTTATATTGCTCCATCATAGGGCTGTCATTTGAGCCAGTGCCCTGCCGCTTTTGTTTTTTTGTTTGTTTGTTTGTTTTTGTTTTTTGTTTTTGAGATAGAGTCTCACTCTGTTGCCTGGGCTGGAGTGCAGTGGTGCAATCTCAGCTCCCTGCAACCTCCACCTCCCAGGTTCAGGGGATTCTCCTGTCTCAGCCTGCCAAGCAGCTGGGATTACAGGTGCGTGCCACCGTGCCTGGCTAATTTTTGAATTTTTATTACAGACGGGGTTTCACCATGTTGGCCAGACTGGTCTTGAACTCCAGACCTCGAGTGATCCGCTGGCCTTGGCATCCCAAAGTGCTGGGATTACAGGCATGAGCCACTGCGCCCAGCCACCTCCTGCTTTTCCTGAGGGAACAGTCTCCTCTCACCTCTCTTCCACTGTTTTGGAGGGGTCTCAGTAGGAACTGATTCAGCTCTTCCAGCTGTCTCTTGCCCACAAAGGGCCTGAAGCCCAGCAACAGCTTTTGCCCCCATGGCCAATGCCCTCACTGCCAGATAGGCAGGCAGGAGGCCCAAGACCTTTTGTTTGTGTGGAAGAGCTGACAGCTTCTAGTAGGGGTGGTTGACTCTTCAGTATTCCCATAAATAATGAGACTAAACAGTTTAATGTACCCTAGGAGGGACAGATGTGGCACAGCCTTCCATGGCCAGGCATGGAAGAAACAACCATGGAAGGGGGTGAAATCTTCCTGCCTAGAAAATCTCTGGGCCTTGGGACTTTTTTTTTTTTTTTTTCTGAGACGGAGTCTTGCTCTGTCGCCCAGGCTGGAGTGCAGTGGCACGATCTCGGCTCACTGCAACCTCCGCCTCCCTGGTTCAAGTGATTCTCCTGCCTCAGCCTCCCAAGTAGCTGGAATTACAGGCACGTGCCACCACGCCAGCTAATTTTTTATATTTCTAGTAGAGAGAGGGTTACACTATGTTAGCCAGGATAGTCTCGATCTCCTGACCTCATGATCTGCCTGCCTCAGCCTCCCAAAGTGCTGGGATTACAGGTGTGAGCCACCACATCCAGCCTGGGACCTTTTGTGGAGTGTTTTGGATCTGGAACATCTGGCTTAGAGGCCTTCTGTTACAGGTATTAGGCCCCTCCCTGGCCCCTCTCCCAGGCAGCTGAGGCTGGAGATGCAGGAGACAGGATTGGTTCTTGAATTTTAAATTCTACATCTAGACACTAGAGGGCACCCTCCCACTCCATCCTAGGAAGGAAAAAGAGGAGAAACAGACCTAACAGTCCTGGAGTGGGCAAGTAAATCAGGCAGCCCTCTGCATCCCAGCAGAGACCACATCCTAGGTTCAAAAATGCAGGTGACGGGGGTGTTGGACTCTCTTGGTCCTCCATCCCTGAATGTCCTTGCACCCCCTTACTACCATAGGTGGGAAGTCCTTTTTTGGCTCTAGCCTCAAACCCCAAACGGCCTGGGCCTTAATTCCCAGGGAAGAGAGGAATTATTAGGGAAAACCAGATTGGGAGAGGGACTGAGCCAAGGATGGAGGAAGCCCATGTCTCAGGTAGGACTGAGTGTGAGGCACCCCATGGAGCGAGAAGACAGGGAGGCCCCTGTGGTGTCACTACAGTTTGCGTGTGTGAGACACTAAATTAGAAGGGGACGTCCCCATATACTCAAGGAGGACCCACACCTAACCCACATGTCACAGGCACTTCAGCTTACCAGACTGCCTGATGACCTTCAGGACTTCAGCCTGGCTGTCCTCTTCTTCCTCCTCTTCTTCATCATCCTCCTCTTCCTCCTCGTCTTCCTCTCTTGGATAACCCAGCTCCCGAAGCTCCCCCAGCTCATCCTCCTCCTCTGAGGCCTGGTTCTCATTCAAATTGCTGATAGACTGTAGGTGAGACTCAGCAATGCGCTGCACAGCTGGCCCAGAGGGGACCCAGGAAGGCAAGGGTCAGCCAGACACAGCCCATGGATCTGGAGATAGTGTGTGGCCCAGCCCCCAGCCTCCTTCCCATAGGCCTGGGACAGAGAATACCCCCTCAGGGGCCCAAGTTCAAAGGCCAAAGGTTACAGGTCAGCCTGATGGGGGTCAGACCAGGGCAGAGGCAGCCAGGGGTAGATTTGATCATGTTTGGCTCTCAAGCTGTCCCAAGATGCTAGCCCCCAGGAGGCTGCCACCAGGCAGCTCCCCCACACCATAGGGCACCAGGCTGGGCAAGACCAGGCGGGCACAGCAGCAGCTTAACATTCCCTGGCTGGAGAGCTTGATTTGCCAAGTACCCAGTACTGGAGACAGTATCTCCCAGCTTCAAGCCCAGGCAAAAGGCACAGGGCGTATGGACCACAGCCTGGGGATTTGCCACTTTCCATTTCTTGGGGGTGCCCAGCCTGCTGAGGGCTCACTGCTTACCCTGATCCTATCTCCCATGCGGTGTATAGTCCCCACTCCCTGGCACTGCCCAGTCATAGATGCCAATTCACATACTCCTGCCCCGGGCTCCAAGGGACAGAACAATTCTGAGGCTGAGGACATAATAGTCTGCAGCCAGTGCAGTCTGTGCCTGGGGATGCGGCGTGCTCAGATGCGGCCCCCACAATCTTGACCCACATCCCCAGGTTCCCAGCTCCCTCTGCGGTGACCTAGAAAGCAACCCCCCAGCCTCCAAAGACCTGCTCAGATAGGGCTGGGAAGGGAACAGTGTGTGCAGCTGGAAAGAAGTTTCCAAAAGATGGAAAGGAGCAAGGGGTTAGAGAAAGGGGCCAGGGCCAGGGGTTCTGGGGGATGGCAGAGTTTGAGGGGCCACTGAGGAGAAGCTGCAGGAGGTGGCGGGATCTTAGAGCATATGGGACACAAAGTTCACAGGCCACAGACAATTTGCTGAGGAAGGGCTGGGGGTGGGGGGATGGGGAGTTGCTGCAGCTTCTTCTTGGTCCGCCAGTGGCCCCTCCCCTCAGAAGGCCCAGGGGGGTAGCGCCAGGCTGGAAACCTCTGGCACAGTGAGCAGGGTGCCATGCTCCTGCCAACTCGGGGACAGGCACAGAGGGTGCTTTGTATGTGCCCGCTGCCCCACCCAGCCCCCAGCTCCCAGCCCAGTACCTCCTACTGGCTCTGGGCAAGCTATCCAGGCAATAAAAGCACAATAAATCACCCTGCCCTGACCTTGGGGACGCAGCGGAGCTTCATTTTGAGCCAAGTGTGAGAGCTCCGACCTTGGAGTACAACCCCTCAAGCCAAGACTTAGTGCTGGGCCCTCTCTCCAGGGCCCTCAGTTCTTCCCTGACAAGCCCCAACCCTGCCAGGCACCTTCCCTTGCCCACAAAGGGACCGAAGCCTACAAAACAGTGCCCTCCTAGTAGAGAAGGATCCATGAGGGCTGTGGGGGGAGGTAACGCAGGAGAGCAGGTGGCAGCCCAGGCAGCTTCCTTCTCCCCCAGTGGGGGAGGAGAGTTCACTTCGTGAGCCACAGTGACAAGAGAAGGTGTGTGCAGCACCTGCGCTGGTGCCCCGTGAGCCTCCCTCGCCTCCCCCACCTCCCTCATGCTTCCTGGGCTCTCTGGGGTCTCCCCATCACTCCTTCCAGGCTGTCCCCTTCTCTGCCCCACTCTGTGGGAGCCTGAACTCCCCCCATCCCAAGTCTCCCTTTTTCAGCTTGAAGGTCCCCAGCCTAGCCCCAGACTGGCCTCCCAGCTCTTGATCCCTTCCCTGCCTCTACTCACCTGGACTCTCCTAAGATGTGGTCTAAAGGGGCAGTTGGGGGTGGTGCACATTTTTGGCCACTGCATGGTGCATGGTAGCACCCTGGCCCTAACATCTTCATCCCGGCCTGTTCCCCCATGCTGGTAGTCAAGAGCCAGGTCTTCCCCTCACATCCACCCAGCCTCTCCCTGCCCAGCCCAAGGTGGGAGGGAGAGGGATTTCTTAAATTCTCTCCTGAGAAGATGCCACTTTCTCTCTCATGCCTGCTTTGGGGCCCTTCCACACACCCCTCTAGGTGGGGAGGTCCTTCCGGGTGCTGAGCCACACTGCCCACTTGCTGCAGCTCTGACCTTTCGTTTTCCTGTACTGGGGAAAGTGAAATAACCCCTTCCCTTCTCTCCTCCCTTCCCAGCCTGTCCTCTCTGTTCCCAACCCTGGCAAGTGGGCTGACAGGTACACCTGTTGACCTTGGCTGGTGCTGGGAACTTATTAAACCCTCCACCGAAGCAGTTCCCAGCATACTCTTCCAGTAGCTCTCCCTCCCAACTTCCGGATGGGGCTGGCTGGGCAGGAAGAGCCCCAGGCAGGAGTTGAGGTGGGGGTTGGTAGGCATCAGGGCTTAATCAGGGAGAGGGCCTCCTGTCTCCTTCAGGTACATCTCCCCAGCTCCCTGACTAGAAACCAAGCCTCTTCCAGGTTGGCCCAAAAGTACCGCTCTGACTCGCATCTCCTTTTCTTTGCACTCCTTCTTCCGTCTTCCTGGACCTGGGATGCCCTTGACTGCCTGTTAAATTCCTATGATCCTTCAAATCCAAGCTTAAACATCTTTGTGTACCTTCCTTGACCCTTTTTTTTAATTATTATTTTTTCCTGAGACAGGATCTCACTCTGTAGCCCAGGCTGGAGCACAGTAGTGCGATCATAGCTCACTACAGCCTCAAACTTCTGGGATCAAGCAGTCCTCGTGCCTCAGCCTCCCAAGTGTCTGGGACTACAGGTGCGCACCTCTATACTTAGCTCACCTTTTTTTTTTTTTTTTTTTGCTTGAGACGGAGTTTTGCTCTTTTTGCCAAGACTGGAGTGCAATGGCACAATCTCGGCTCACTGCAACCTCTTCCTCCCAGGTTCAAGTGACTCTCCTGCCTCAGTCTCCCGAGCAGCTGGGATTACAGGAATGCGCCACCACGTCCAGCTAATTTTGTATTTTTAATAGAGACGGGGTTTCTCCATGTTGGTCAGGCTGGTCTCAAACTCCCAACCTCAGGTGATCTGCCCACCTCGGCCTCTCAAAGTGCTGGGATTACAGGCGTGAGCCACCGCGCCTGACCCACTTAGCTCGCTTTTTAAATTTTTCATAGAGATGGGGATCTCACTTTATTGCCCAGGCTGGTCTCGAACTCCTAGGCTCAAGCAGTCCTCCTGTCTTGGCCTCCCAAAATGCTGGAATTTCAGGTGTGAGCCACCTTTCTCGGCCCCTCCTTGACTCTTTGAGGCAAAGGCAGGGACCAAATCTGACTCGTCTTATTCTGCCCAGTGCCCACCAACTCAGCCTAGCATATACTAGGTGTTCAGTAAGTGTGTGCAAAAGGAATGGCTTGCTTTTCCATGGAGAAAGGGAAGCAGGAAAGAGGAGACCAGTGTGCAGATCTGTGCAAATGAGATGCAAATGGGAGGGGAGGCCAGGGGTAAAGCCCACAGGAGAAGGCGCCCTAGATGAGCAGGGGTGGGATGTGGTCCAGCAGAGGCTGGTGAAGAGGAGCTGCAGGTGGGGTCCCTTCCACGCGGATGCCTGCTGTTGTCTTAGGCCAGCCATCTCTTTTCTTTCAAGCCCACAACCCGATGTTAAGGCCCACAGTTGCCCATTGCAGCCTCGGGGCTCCTGTGTTTTATGAGGCCAGACTGAGAAAAAATTGGTCTTTACGTGGGGTTGTTGCACCACACTGACAGAGGGCTATGTGTGGCCAAAAAAATCCCTCCCCACTGACAAAAGCTCCCCCAGCGTCTGCCCAGTTCCAGAGATCAAGGGGACAGCCAGGAAGGTCGGTGGGGGGATAGTACCTTTCAGCGAAGGTGGTGTGTAGGCACAGGGGTTGGGTCGCTTCGACTTGAGATGGTGCCCCTCTCCTGAGGCTCTCTGCCAGGGGAAGTGCCAGGTTAAAGGGGCTCAGCAGAGGCCCCTTCCCTTCACCCTCCCTCCATTCCATCCCACCCATGGCCACCCAAGCGGACTGATTTCGCCTCTGCTAATGGGTCCTGCACCTAGGCTGAGCCTCCCCACCCCATGGCTTTGGGAGGGCCCCCATAAGCCATGGCCTGGTTTAGGGCAGGATTCTAGGTCCTGGAGGTTCCACCCTGAGTCTGAGCAGAGGAGGATCTGCTGGTGGCACCTGGCATGAGGCACTCTCAGAGGACTGCCCATTGATATGCTAATGTGCCCTCTTGGGTGGCACCCCATACTGGTTGGTTGTCACTGCAGGCACCTGTCCACCCCACCCCAAAGGGCCCAGGCATCCCTCCTTCCAGCTGCCCCAGGAAACTCACCTGGTGGGGGGAGGCTTCCTCCTCTGAGGAAGGCCACCAAAGCCAACCAAACCGGAACCGAGTGAGGAGGAAGAGGAAGAGAGATAAAGAATCCGAGTTATTTTCCCCAGGGTCTCAATCTCTGGGGACAGGGAAAGTGTGCCCTCTCCCTTCTGAGGCTGGGAGGTGTCATGTCAATAAATAAAGCCAATAGAGTTGGGTTCCCAGACCTTATCCACTCCCCAGTCTCCTGCTCTGAGTTCTGTTCGTGGAACTTCTGCAGGGCCCCTAGGAAGGCATCAGAGCTAGGGTGGGACAGGGGCTCAGTGGGCAGGGAGGGCCCTACCTGGTGAGGAGTGCTCTGAGAGCCGGAACAGCATGGCAGGCGTTGGTCTCCTGCGCCGGATCTAAGGAGAAGGAGGGAGGGGTGACAAGATAGACACCTGCAGCCCCCCACCCCACCCCAGATAGCAGGGAACACACAGTGCTTTGGAGTCCCTGGAGAACCTTTGAATCAAAGTCTGTCAGAGCCAAAAGGAACTCTGTAGCTCACCTAACCCCCTCATTTTATAGAGGTGAAAAAGCAGGGCTCAGAGAGGTTTGGCAGTGTCCTCAAGGCCACACAGCACACCAAGTCCAAAGGACAAGAAAAACCCCAGTCACTGACTCCCAGGCCATGCCTTTCCCACTCCATGGCTACTCCAGAACAGACATTTCCCTTCCTGTCTTCTCCCACCAAGGCCCTTCCTCTCCCCAGTTTCTGAAAACATCAGACCTCAGAAAACATCAGACCAAAGCTGGCTACAGCTGCAGCTGCCAGGGCTGGGCCCTGGGGAAGATGCCCCACGGGTCATGGCACCCACGTGGCCCTGCCCACCTAAGGTCAGTTCAAGGGCTCCAAACAAGCTGGATCCAGCTTTTCAGAAGGAGACTGAGCCAGGGCACTGCAGGCATCCCCCACCTCCAGCTGAGGCTCAGGGACCCACAGGGGCCTGGGGGGGACCTCTCTGGGGGCCTGGGTTTGGGCTTCTCTGCCAGTCTCTGTAAGGCTGCAGAACTCTTCACCCAGTCCTTGTGAGAAGTGAAAAGTTGCCCTCCTTGCTACGTGAGCCAAGCTGAATTGGGGGGAGGCGGGTGCTGAGCACTCCCAGCAACTGACCCCCCACCCCTCAGCTTGGCAATCAGACCAACTGTCATTTAATTAGGTCCCTGTTGAGCTCCAGGGAAATGCACAAAGAGAACCAGGTGAGTTAAGCTGAAACTGCCACCTCCCCTGCCAAGCTCCCCACAACACCCTCCCAACCCAAAGCTGCTTAGGCCCAGGGCTGTACCCCCTGCCCTCTATCTCCCCCCACAATGACTTGGCCCCCTCTTCACTGCTCGGTGGGGAGCCAGCTGCATCTCAGCAACAAGTGACCCCTGCTCCACTAGGGATGGGAAGTGGAGCCCTCTGTCACAGCACCCCCCAACCTTTGGAAGCCCCTCAGCCCCCAAGAAGGCTCTCGGGAGGACTCAGTAGTCTGTAGGAAGACATCTGGCTTTGTGATGACTTGTCACCTCTCCCTCCTTGGGGTTGGGGCTCTGGGGCCTGACAGCAGGAGGTCAGAGCAAGGTTCTGGCGACCCCAGCCCAGGCACACACGCGGGACTAGAGAGGGACAGGGCAGTGGGGTCACCCGGTGGCAACCTCACACTCCCGCCCTGGGTGGCGAGATCAGTGTCCGCCGCTGCTCACATCTGACCAGCTCTGGGCTGGAGCCAGGCGAGCGGTCCCGGTGGTAGCCTATTAGACTGACTACCCTTTGAGGACTGTGCTGGGACCAAAGGACGCCCCACTCCCGGACGGTCTGGAATCGGCCTGTCCCCCCACCCCCGCACCCCCAGCCTCACTGCCGGGAAGTCTCTGGCCCCGGGATTAGGACCGAAGCCGCGGGAAAAAGTTGCACAAGTCTCCAGCTAACTTCACACGCGGCCCCGCACCCAGTCCTGACAGAGGCAGAGCCCGGCTCCCCTTGCGCCCCCACCCCCAAGGCCAGTCCGGCCGGGGCAGCTCCCTGCGAGTGCGAAGAAGCCCCGCGGGGTGTGTCGGGGACACTGCTGGAGTGGGGCGCGGGCCGCTTACCATCTCCACCTGGCGGGGGTCGAGCTGGCTAGGGGGCGCGGGAACCGAGAACTGGATCTTCTTGCGGTCCTTGGGGTCCATGGCGCGTGGGGTGGGCGGCGGGGCTGGGAAGCGCAACTCGGGGTCCCGGCGGCGGTCTGTGCTGGGCTCCCCCGCGCAGGTGGCGGGCTGTGCGGCGGGAGGAGGAGGAGGGCTGTTCGCTCACGGATAAAAATACCGCGCCCGCCGAGGGGAGGGCGCGGAGCGGGAGGAGGGTCGGCGCCCGGGCTGGGCGCGCCCCCAGGCTCTCGGGACTCTGGGCTCGCCCCCCGCGCTCGCTGAGCCGGGTCTGTGCCTCGCTCCCTCGCACTCCCCGGCCTGGGTGTCTCTGCGTCTCGGTGTCTCTCCCCTCCGGAGTGTCTCTGCGTCTCGGTGTCTCTCCCCTCCTGAGTGTCTCTGCGTGTCTCCTCTCTCTGCCTCTCGCGCCCTTCTCCACCTCCCTCCCTCAGCCTCTCCTCCTCTCCGCGTGTGTCGCTGCCTCTGCCAGGCTCACCCCTCCGGTCCCCGCTTTGGGGTCCCCAGCCCGTCCCCTCCGCCTGGGACTGGCGCCCGGGTGCTCGGAGGGAGGGCTTAGAGGAAACTGGCCAATGAGCATGGAGAATCGTGTTCTCCTAGGGCTGGGAGGAGGGTGGGAGTTAGAGCCAAGGCCGGGGGAGCCGGCTGGGGGGCCCCCTGCGGTCTCCCCAGAACTTGAAGCTGCATTATTGATGGAGTCCAGCAGAGAGGATAAAGGGGGAGGAAGAGGGAGAGGGGCAGCGGGGAGGCAGGACTCTGGCTTTAACCCCTTCGTGGTCCTGGCACTGGGAATTTCAGGGAGGCCTGTGAGGTCGTGGGGAGCGTACCAGCCTGTCACGCTGTGAATGGGGGTGTCCTGGAAAGGCAGCGAGTGTGACCGAGTTGTGTGTGGGAGGACACGTGTCAGTCATCGTGGCAGGGAGAGTGTGCAGGGGAGTGCCGGGGCCCTTTGGTGCCCATAGCCTGGGAGTGTGTGTTGGGGGGTCGGTGTGGTGTGTGTCTGTGTAAGTGTGTCAGAGTGTCAAAGATGCAGGTGTGAGTGGCAGGATGTGGGAGGACTGCGTGTGTGCAGAGGAGGGTGTGGGTGTCGGGGAGGATGTCAGAGACTGTCAAGGTGATGGGCAGGCGTGTGCCAGCTTGCAGGGAGTGGGGGACTGTATCCACAGCTCCCGCCGTGCAATTGCTGGGGGTATGAGGTTGTGAATGTGTGAGCGCTCCTGTGAGGGAGAAGGGGAATGCGCCCTGCCATGATGTACCCTGGATTCACGTGGCTCCTGTCTTTCCTCTCCAGATCTAATGGGGTGGGGAGGACAGGACCGACCCAGAGTTGGGCGGTTTGGGGGCTGCCTATACACGTGCCATCACATGCGTGAATTTGGTGCATTCAGAAGCAGGGTTGGGGGAGACAGGTGTGAGTCTCTCTCTCTCTCTAGAGGTGTTTGTGTGTGTCTCTGGAGTGGGAACAGGAGGAGCTGGCCCTGTGGGTGGAATGTCCCTATCTATCTGTCCGGGCCTTGGGTACCTTTGCGGGAGCTGCTGTTTCCCTCCTTGGGGCTGCGCAGAGGGTCTGAATGCTTCTGTCTAGCACTGAGAGGGTGCGTGTGTAGGCGTGTACATGGCATGTCTTCCTGGGGCTCTGTTTGTGTTGGCATCCTCTCTCCTGGTCACTCTCAGGCCTGAAACTGCCAGGAGCCTTCCCTACCCCCAATCCTCCTGCGGCTTTTCCACTCCCAGCCCCAGCATCTGGGTCCTTGGTGGAGTGAGAGGCAGAGGAATCTTCTGGAATTGGGGTCAGGGCCCACTCTGGGGGTGAGGGAAAGAGTGGCAGGAGGGCCAGAGTGTTGCTCACAGGAGTGGGATGCCCTGGCCACCCAGCTCCGCATCGGCCAACCCCAGGCCTGGCTCAAGTCCCCGCATGTTTGTTGACTTATATACTTGTTGGGAAACAGCCGGATGCCAAGTTGTTGGCCCAGGGGTGTAGGCATCTCTGGCAGCCCCTAGCTTGGCCCAGAACCTCTGTCGAAGATGGGGTGTGGTGGGGAGTGGCAAAGGCCAATTTGGCAGTGCCTTGGGAGGGTAAATAAGGAGGCCCTGAAAGGAAGAAGAGGTACAGGAAGGGCATGACCCAGGCAGTGGCCCGGACAGCCACTGGGTGGGCAGAGGTGGGGAAGGGGCTTGTGGCCAGTGCTGGTGGTGTGGGGAAGGATCGTGGGGATGAAGGGGACAAAGGACAGCTGGGAGGGAGATGAGAGGATGGAGACAGGGAGGCATGACCACCAGTTGCACCTCAGAGCCTGTCGGAGCTGAAAAGGCCTCAGGGAACTTGGCAGCTGAGCCCCATTTGAGCAGGAGGGCTTATTTACGGAGGCTCTGCTGAACTTACTGGAGCTCTGGGAGACCCCAGATCAGGAAACATTCCCCGGATCCCAGGCTGGGGCAGCTGAGAAGGGAGATGAGGGCAGAGAAGCCTCCCTCTCAGCTAGGCCTGGAAGATGAGGTCTTTGGGAGCAGAGGGACGGTGTTTGCCCATCTCCCCCAGCCTGTGGCCAGGCATCCACACTTCTGGCATCTAAATCCTGGGGCCAAGAAGGGTGGGGAAGACTGGCTGACAGAGGGACAGACACAGGGGACAGACACGAAGGAGGAGGAGGAGATTGCACAGAGACAGGACGTGAGAGAGAGATTGAAGGGAGAGAGGAGAAAGTAAAGAGGGACAGAAAACATGGTTGAGAGATGGAGAGACAAAGGGAGGCAAAGAGAGAGAGGGAGCCTCACAACGGAGAAAGGCAGAAGACAGAGATGGAGAGAGAGTAAAAATAGCTCAGCATTAAGATAATTGCAGCTCACAACTCTGCCCTCCGTTAGGAATTAAATTAGGTTTTATTACTTTGATTTTTCTCTCCTGGATCCTACGCGACTTCTCAAGAACTTGGGGAAAAGTTTTTCAGGTGGGCGGCCAGGTGGTGGGGGCTGCGTGGGCGACAGAGGAGGAAGGGGATGGGACTCTGGGGAGCTGGGGGAGGGGTGGGCAAGGGCAAGGAGTGGGGAGGGGCTGCTGGAGACAGTGGAGCCCGGCAGGGGCTGGGGGAGGTGGCCAGGACCAGGCACAGGGTGGGGGTGGGAGGGCGCTGAGAAGCAAAGGGCCAGGGTGCCCTGCATTCACTTTGACTTAGAATTAATCATATGCAAATAAGATGTAAAAATAATATGCCACTCCTTGGTTATTATTCTTGGGTTAGAAGCACAGGCGGTTGGGTCCAAGGAACAAATTCAAGACCTCATTTGACTTAACTGTGATTGAACTGTGGGTCTCTCTGCTTGGACTGACAGAAAAAGTTGGTGGTAGGGTGTCTATTGATGTACCATAGGTCTGAGTACACTATTTTGAGGCGTTTCTTTCTCATCATGTATCTTCATGCCATTGCTGGATGCCTGCCACAGGGCCTGGCGTGCAGGAGGCCCTGCGTTCACCTCTGGAGGGAAAATTTGGGAGGGTGGTGTGAGGCTTTGCCCTCTTCCCCGGATGGGGGGAGAAGGGACACTCGGATCTGTCCCCCACTCCTCCCAAGCAAGATGTGTTTACCTGGACAGAACATCAGCTGGGAAGTCCCAGCCCTGGGTAGGAATTTCAGATCTGTAACTTCCTGTGTGAACTTGGACACATTTCTTAACTACTCTCTGTGCCTCAGTTTCCTTATGCTTCAGAGCCCACCTCACATGGTGGCTGTGACGATTCAATAGGAAGAAAAATAAAGCCCCCGCCAGGGCAGGATTCCTGATAGCCCTTGATCGAGTTTCCGGCTTCCCCAGAGCTCTGGGGATGCGCATCCAGAAAGAGCCGGCAGGTGGCGGAGTCGGCCAGGGTTTGGGTAGCTACTGCAGGCACTGCGGGTCTGGAGTTGGGCATCATACCCGTGACCTTGACACCACAGAGCTGAGCTGGCTGGGTTGGCATGTGGCAGCTGGAAGGGAGGCCCCGGAAGTCCCAGGAAGCACCCTGAGAGGAGCCGGGAGTGCTGGCTGGGAGCCCTGGGCGTCTTTCCCTGCCCTTGGGGGAAGGGAGAAGTGGGGACGGGGGAGGAAGAGGAATTCCAAGGCCCACCTCCTCTGGGGAAGGCCGTGTACCCAAGAGGAGAGGGCAAGGGCACCCTCCGTAGGAGCAGTGGTGGCACCAGGACAGGTGGACAACAATCTGAGACGCTCATTTACACACGGACTCATTCATTCATTCACCCGTCATCCATCCCTTTGCCCATTCAGTACATTCACATTGGGTGCTTAGGTGCTTTGTTCCAAATTTTGTTGAGTTACAGTTTGCATACAATAAAGCGTTAAATATACATTTCAATGAGTTTTTGGAAATTTATATAGCATTTGACCACCACCACAATACAGATATATAATGTTTCTGTCACCCCAGAACGTTCGTTTTTGCCCCAATCCAAGTCAATCTCCCTTCTCCACTCATTGGTTGTATCATAACTCTTAGCACACTATTTTGATACGTGTCTTTCTCATCAATTTTTTTTTCTTTTTTTTTAGAGACAGGGTCTTGCTCTGTTGCCCAGGCTGGAGAGCAGTGGCGCCATCACGACTCACTGCAGCCTCGACCTCCTAGGCTCAAATGATCCTCCTGCCTCAGCCTTCTGTGTTGCTGGAACTACAAATGTGCACCACCACACCCGGCTAATTTTTTAATATTATTTTTTGTAGAGACAGGGTCTCACTTTGTTGCCCAGGCTGGTCTGGAACTCCTGGGCTCAAGGGATCCTTCTGCCTTGGCCTCCCAAAGGGCTGGGATTACAGGCATGAGCCACTGTCGCCGGCCGTCATCTCTGTTTACATCATCACCGACCTGCCACAGTACCCAGAATACAGCAGGCACTCCATGACGCCGAGAGGATGGTTTGAGAAGTGAATGAATAGATGAATACATGAGTCAGAAATTGACAACGGTGACATATAGGGAGCCTCTGTGCTGGGCACCGGGCTAGGCCCTTCCTACGCTCTCTCATTTAATCCTTGCTGGTATCCTTCCAATTCACAGATGAGGCTATTAGATTCAGAGAGGTTCAGCAGCTTTTGCCCAGAGCCTGGGTTCAAACGCAGACAGTCTAACTCCAGAGCCCTCCCGCTTTAACTGCTGCTTTTAACACGTTCAGGATGGACGCGTGGAAGGTCGCGTGCACGCACTGCAGCGGGCTCCTCTCTTTCTCTGCCCTGGACCAGGTTTCTCTCTCGCTCAGTCCCGCCAGTTTGAACCGTTCTCGGGAGCAGCAGAAATCAATGTGCGGAGGCTGCCCTCTGGTGGCACAAACGAGTACAGCCGTATATGTGCCCTCTGGCGCCCCCAGGTGGGAGCTGGGAGGTTGTTGAGAAGAGAGCAAGCTGCAGCCCACAGCGGGGGCAGCCTCAGCCCCCGGCACCTGGAGACCCCCTGCTCTGGCCACTGCCTGGTGCCCCCCGAGGTGCCAGCTGAGGCTGCCCCCGAAGAATGCCAGCTGCCGGAGCCCGCCGCCTCCCACTCCCTCCACCAGCCTCACACACACTCCAATCCCGGTCCAGTCGGCTGCTTCCATTCCCTGAAGAAGAGGCCCTAAAGTTAAAACAGCTGTTAATTTATAAACCAATTTTTCCGTGACTGCTTAATAAATCGCCAGCAGCTGCTCTGCCCCGTCCTCCTGCCCAGGCACCCGGCCCCGGGGGCTGCATGGAGAAGCTCAGAGCCGCCAGCCTGCCCCTCCTGCCTTCTTCCTCCAACCTCTCTAGCTTGCCCCCATTC